ATTTGTCTGAAAATGAGTGTATTTCGCTAGTCGATATCTAAGTTTATTTGTCGACTGGTCTTGGAGAGGACATCTCAGGTGAAACAGTGGTCCCACAAAAACTAGCTTATTAATTCACGTCCTACTTCTTACAAGGTCAGCGAAAACTATTCACAGCCCACTACCAGATTCGTTCTTCTTGGAACTCTTCAGATAACTTTATTTTTCAAAGTAACGCCAATATTATAAAGTATATGAATACCAAATTGTACGTATGTGGTTATAAATACTCACTTTGGCATTGACGAGAGACTCAGCTGAAATACAGCTGGATCCGTCACCTGTGATGTGCCGTAGATGTGCGTCTGTCGCCAGTTTGCATAAAAATTTGATAGATTGAAAACCGAGGATTGTGTACAATGACTGATGAGCCCTAAGCATGGCCGCACTGGTAGCGGGCTGTCCTGAATTTTCTTCATCGACCATGTGAGTAGTAGTGCGTCGCACATCGATATCTGGAATATTTTTCCAAATCAAGCTTGAAGCCACCTTTGTAAGGCACGTCCAGTTAGAGAACTTGTTAAGTTAGACATCTGGTTGAACTTCAGTTGGAATCCAAGTTCTTGGTTATATGAATATGAAATTCCAATATCTTACTTCCTACACTGTGTTTTTAAAATTTGGCTGCAAGCTTGGTGTAACTCCGTATAGGCTAGCTTATTCCGAGGACTTGTCTTTGTCTGATCAACATCAATCCGTCCAAGACTGACCACGAAAAATGCATCAAGCTCATCGGCCCTAAGGGAAGCGTTGTCTCTCTCGTCACTCTTTTCATACATCATTAATGTTGTGAAATCAGGCGACTTGTGAAACACACACCATCAACAGGTTATCGGGTTTGTGACAAGCCAGAAATTTTTGGTTACGTGACTCTAGGCCATAAATCAAACTCAACTTGATTTCACCTCTCCCTTTTGCCGATAGGAAGAATGTAAAAATGATCATCAGACGGTGGATGTGAAATAATTTGAGGATCCACACACCCCCCGGCCGCCCTTTCTCCTCCCCCTGAACCCTGTAATCCCACTAGCCTTAAGCAAGCAACACATGACATGACACCTTTCAGTAGCGTCGTCTTGTTTTCTACTTTAACAACCGACGGATTAGATCAATCTTGGATGGCGGGATGAGTGACACCCGCCAGCATTTGATGCGTTTGGGTGTTGAGCTCAGCACACTCCGATGAAACTCGCCATCACTGTACAAATTGTCCCACCAAGAGGTGGAAGCAACAGCTACCGTGTCCGGACCTGAGATGAAGGTAAAATTGTTTAAGGACGTAGTTTAGATATTTAGTTGAAAGTACAATGCCGATTTCTCAACAGTAACCGGCGTGCTAGAAGAGTATTTTGTCTGACAAGGAAACCCTTGAAGAGGAACTACTTTCGTCGATAAGCTTGCCTTTCCCCAAAAGCTGGATCCCCAAACTGTTTTTCTCCTAGTACAGTGAGGACGCTTTTTGTTACCGACTCATGAATTGTACTTCCACCTTCGGATGGTTTGAACACAGCTTAGCCTGTACTACATCCGAGGCGTGAACAGTTAGCGACTGGAATACGGTTTGACATCAACGATGGAGGAGTTAGACGGCAGTTTGACTTTTGTCGATTTTTTACCCTATAACTGTGGCAGGTTAACACTTCAGCTCGCCCTGGCCCGAGTTAGCCGACTGCCATGTACCAGTAAGTCTCACATCTGACTCTTACAACCCAGGAGAAATTCTATCGCCTGTCCGCAAAAAGTTATTTGAAACGCCTGAATAGAATGTCAGGTTGGCGCAAAAATGTGCACTGCACTCGTTAGTCAACCAAGCTTTCATGGAGAAACACCCTGGTCGAAAAGCGGGAGCCCCTGAAAAAATCGCAGTCGCGTTTGATTTGACTGCNTTATTAATTATCATTTTTTCCCCCCCCCCCCCGGAGAGTCTACCGATATCGCTGTTAGGATGAACCGAGGTTGAACAATCCTCAAACCGTCGACAGGGCTCTGTTCTACTGATTTTTCGTTTCCAAACGTATTCAAGTGAAAGGTATTTTAAGATCCTGAGTTTGGGCATCTCAGTTGTCAACAGTGTAGATTTCTGGGGTCGAATACTTGTACGGATGCCTACAAAATGGCTGTTGACCCTCATCTTGAAAGTTCTGTGCAGATGTTCTTATTTCAATAAGCGAAGTAAAAAGAGGAGTCGTTCGTCTACAAAATTAAACGCTACAGTGAAAACACATGAGGGAATCACGTCAATCCTGCATCCCTACTCTCGCACATTTTCTGCATCGGGTTCTTATCCAAAGGTAAGTTCTCAGTGGGATTGCAAGTTCATTGATGACAATATTAGACACCCTCCCGGACACATTCGTTCCCATAACAGTCATCCTCATATGTGTATCATCGAAAATGATACCGATAAATGTTCACCTTCGGTTTCATCCTGTTATTGAAGCTGATCTATGCTGAAAAGCCAAGAAGTGCTGTACAGTTGAGAATAATTGTCATCTCACCTAACTCAGACAATTTCGAACCCGCGAACTCTCGGCTAGCAGTCTGAACACTCAACTATTTGGTCACGAGCGGCTTACCAGCAGTGGACTAGTTCTCACTTAGATGAGATGAACTCTCTTCATGTCACCACCAATCAAAAAGTGGAAGAGTGATTTCACGCAATGAATGAAACCTCATTTTTGAAAAGTCATCACTCGAGGAGCCAATCAATATGTGACCTCATGATGTGGTTTCCGTTATTGAAGGATGAGTTTTGTCCAGTCTACGAAAGGGCTAGCCACACTACTGATCAGCCGCATGTGTTAGCGGAGGTTGCCTTTCAGCTGCAGCACCTTTTCGGTGTCTAGCTGACATTACCCCCGAAAGAAGCACGAGGGCTAGGATACTGCCAGGCTGCCAAAGCCTAGACAGGAGAATGTGAGATGTCGGAGTTGGGTTAGAACGACGAACCCCTGGTCATTAGGTTCTCACCCCAGTCAATGAGCTCTATTAAATTCTGTGGCGTCGGTGGGATTTTAAATCCTCAGTTTGGAATCAATCAAAAAGTTGCAAGAAACACAACATGGATGAAAAGCAAAGTTCACCCGATTTTAGCGAATGTACATTCATTTGCAAACTAATTTGGTTTTTTCGAGAAACTCACCTGGAACTCAGCTGAATCTCTCGGTTTTGATGTTTCCGGGCAACTGAATGTGCTGCACCAGGCCGCCTCATGTTTCACCCAGTACGATATTCGAGATATCGCGATACAATTATATCTTGGTAATGTACTACTCATAAGGTTGCTGAATATCCGTCGACAGCTCACGGCCTGAGAACATCACATAAACGAGAGATTCAGCTGGGTTCCAGGTGAGTCTCTCGAAAAAAACAAATTAGTTTGCAAATGAGTGTATATCCGTTAATCTCATGCAATTTTGTTTCAAGTAGAACCTAAGGTTGACGGAAACCTGGGGACTGCGCCTACCTGATTAGCCCCAAAAGGGGCGAAATCGGTCGTGGGCTGTCGACGGATTTTCAGCAACCTTATGAGTTGTACATTACCAAGATATTCACCCGCTTTTGTTGTAATATTTAAAATATGTATTGATAACCGTACAAGATAACTGGTGTTTACCAAATTGTGCGATATACCAGATGTGAAACTAATGAAAACGTGATCGCTTTTCGAATGGATCCCACATTCCATCAGTCTGACCTGTAATGATATTATCCATATGGTGTGGCACCAGGAAGCTCTGTTTTAGTGATTGGCACTTTGCAGCTTTTTGTTTCATTCCTCTTGAATTCACCGTTTATGCAAGTCCTATTGATTGCGGGGAGGCAATTAGTCGAGCTGCAAAGTATGGAGGAGACCTGCTGGAGGTGTTTTTAGTGACTTCTCAGAGGAGGCTTCAGAGCAGTGCACATCAAGGTGGAAAGACGTATAAATTTACTATAGTCCTCAAGGTTTCAAACGCAATATAAACATATACTGCTGGAGGTGTTTTTAGTGACTTCTCAGAGGAGGCTTCAGAGCAGTGCATATCAAGGTGGAAAGACGTATAAATTTACTATAGTCCTCAAGGTTTCAAACGCAATATAAACATATATACAGTTGGTGATATTTCGAGTTTTGTCTGTGTACATTTCAAACGATCTAACTATAATCGTGAAAGAATCGACTCACGAGTTTTGATTGTAAGAATGAACTGTCCAGGTGTCCGTAAAGCGGGGACTTGTTCCTCTGCCATTAAGCTCTGCTTGATACAACTGTGAGACTCTCAGTGAGTGCCAACATAACTACATTCTCGAGGTAATCAGCTGAATGTTTCTGATCACTGGGTGACGAATTACTTCGAAAATCGATTTGTGGCGCTTAAATGAACACACCAAACGGTGAACAGTCGGTGTGACAAGGTCATCCTGTTTGGAAAAGTGCAATAATATCTTCTACTGACTGCATGGTTACCATTTCTACTGATACTCCATCACCCCCCGTTTTCGGGTTGTCGCCAAGTGAGTCACATACATTACACCTGCGCATGGTACGCATCAAGTCAAGATGATTACTGCAGGTTCAATGTCTGTTACAGAAGGAAGAGAAACAAACCCTAGTTGTTCCGATACATTTGTGCGTTTGACGATATCCCCCTCGTGTCCACTGATGGCAAGAGGTGACAAGATTAAGTATTCCAACCTCAGGATTTATGCATCAGAGAATTATCGCCCGTTTCAGTGGCTTTAATTAGTTCACCCCTCAGACTGAGAGCAAACTGAGGTTGACTAATTGCATACAATACTTTCCTGTGTTCGATCCTTCGGTGTGGGAGTTCCTTTAACCTGTCACAATGCTACTGCTCTGTTGATTCTTTTGTTCTGTTCTTATTCTGTACCATGTGATTTCCCCTTTTTGTGCCTATACCCGCCTTCTTGTTTTGACCTGAACGTCTACAGCTCTCTGACATTGTTATCCCACGTCTAGTTTAAATCAACCACGTGAGTTCCGCCATCCTGTGAACATTTTTTTATTTGGAGACGTTGCGAACTTTGGGCTCCCGTTTGGAATTAGCAGCACCCAAACCCTTGTGATCCCACGATTTGAGGTTCGTACAACTTTACTATTTTATTATTGTATTCATAGTACCGCAGTTGTTGATAAATCTTCATTTGAACGATTTGAATTTTGCGGTTTTTTTGCGTAACCCAACGTAACTCAACATCGCCAACTGCAGACAACTAGGGATTTTGTACAGGCTTTATCACGTGAGAATAAAACCCATATTTGTGTGCAATTCAATGCTCTCCGAAAACCTGAGGTGCCTATTTACTTTGGCTTTCTGGGAAACTGATCTCAGGTTTATTTCGTTTAGTTTCTTTAATATACGGTCCTGTTTCGTTCCAGTGAATATCGCTCACCTAACGATACAATCACGAGAGCCTCTACTTAGAAAAAATTGTTCTCAGTATATCGAACACTGGAAATTAGGAAGGGCGTTCAGATTTTACCCCAAACATTTACCGGCACTCGAGTGGAACGTCTGAAGAGTTGCGAACGTGACCGGCGTTGTTCCTGCCTCAGCTACTTGAACTATTCACATTGCCCCTCTGTGCTACTTCGGTCAGCCAGCTCAATGGTTGTTGACGTTTCTGTTGTGGCCAACAGCCCCTTGAATGCATACGCTGACTTTCGATCACGTGTCTAATTACAGTTAAACAAGATCACAATTCTCACTTTGAAGTGGGTGGTTGTTCAGTCGGACCAACCCAACCAAAAGGTCACGTAATCGAAACGAAAGGATGGAGCATGACTACTCAAGAACGTCAAACAGAAGGGCAGATGACTACGGAAACGACTTTTTGTTACCAAGTTGTCAGATTTGGTGATAATTGTTACCATAGTTGAAAAAATGTGTGAATAAACTGGTATGAATGACAAATGATGTTGCCGCTTTTCCGAATCGGTTTACCGTTGACAATTAGAAAGCGGTTGGGGAAAAACGCTAGTGGTTTGGTATCACGTGGACCATGGTAGAGAAGCGCCACACCTCAACCAATACGTAGCCTCAAGGCTGTCTGGGTCTCTGATCTCACCTAATCAATTTGCACGTGTCACAAACTCAGGTATCAGAGCTCGGGTTACTGTTTAGTTGATGCTCGTAATCTAGCCGCCCATGGATGGTCACGCAGTGCGCGACCAGGTATGTGATTTCAAATATACTCGATTGATTGATCGTGAGTCCAAGGCAGCGGTGAGTTGCGTTCTAACCACCAGGTTGAAAACTGCCCCACCATACCCACATGAGGGGCTAATCACTCGTTTTTAAATACTATCTGTGGAGAGGGATCGAGTAGACTTTTCTCTGCTTTATTGTGTCAGTGTGCTTGATTTCGCTAGTTCAGCGTCACAACGGATGTCTTTCAAGTTTCCTTGGAAAGACCTCAGCCAGTGGAAGAGAGGACACTCAAATTTGATTTAGGCTTTGCTCTTCTTGAACGATGTAGCTTATAAAACGCCGTGGAGGACCGGGGAGTTCGGAGGAACATTGGTTACACAGAAGGAAAATCATCATCATCATCATCATCATCATCATCATCATCATCATCATCATCATCGTCATCATCATCATCAATCATTATCATCATCATCGACAGCATGACATCAGCGCTCATACCTTCAGACACCTATTCAGAGAATTTGGACAGAACCTGACAGCAAGAATGCAACAGACATCGGTTGGCAGCCATATTTTGCAGTGTCTCCAAGCAGGCGCATTGAGGACCACACGCTCCGCGTCCTGGAAGACGAGTTGCACCGCACAGGAGGGAACACATAAATCATAACTTTATTTTGCCAGGTAAATGTCATAAAAAATAGGGAGCGAGATGTCCCAAGTGGTTAGAGCGCGAATTTACTGACCGAAACATCCGTGGTTCGAACCCGACCTCTGCCCCTCGACTACCCCTGTCTAGGCCTGGGCAACCTGGCAGTATTCCAACCCTCCTGCAGCCTTCAGGTGGCATGACAGCTAGGGTGCTAAAACCGAACGATTTGATTTTTTGTAATCCACTACCCACAAGGTTGCTGAAAACCCCTCGAAAGCCCACGACCGGTTTCGCCCTTCTTGAGGCTCATCAGGTAGGCGCAGTCACCGGGTTTCCGTCAACTTGAACCCAAATTGCACGAAGTTAGTGAACTACACTCATTTGTAAAACAACTTGGTTTTGCGGGAGACTCACCCGTAACCCAATCGCGCAGTCACCGGGTTTCCGTCAACTTGAACCCAAATTGCACGAAGTTAGTGAACTACACTCATTTGTAAAACAACTTGGTTTTGTGGGAGACTCACCCGTAACCCAATCGAATTTTTCGTTTGTGATGTTTCCAGGCAACTGAATGTGTTGCACCAGGCCGCCTCATGTTTCATTGGCTACGATATTCAAGATATCGCTACACATGCTATACATAATACACAACTCATAAGGTTGCTGAAAATTCTTGGACAGCCCACGACCGGTTTTGCCCTTGTTGGCGCTGCAGTCACTGAGTTTCCATCTTTGAAGACATCATAAGCGAAAGCCTTAGCTGGGTTCCAGGTGAGTCTCTCGAAAAACCAAATTAGTTTGCAAATGAGGTTATTTCGCCAATTTTGTGCAATTTAGTTTCANTATATATATATCGAGCTATCTCGAATATCCTAGCGACTGAAACATGAGGCGGCCTGGTGCAGCACATTCAGCTGCCTGACAACATCACAAACGAGATATTCAGCTGGGTTCCAGGTGAGTGCCTCGCGTAAAAACAAATTAGTTTACAAATGAGTGCATTTCGCTTACTTCCCATTATGTTGTTCTACTCTGCAACCTACTGCTCATATGGAATGAATACAAACCATATTCTGTTTTTCTTGTACACTCAAACACACATCGATGAATCCGATTGTCCCTTCATACACCAAGTGCATCGGATACGTGGTATCCAGCTCCGTGCGAACTTTGCATATATTGTCAGAAAGCATATGCTAAACTTGTTTGTTATGCGTACGTAGTACAACCATTCGGAAGTCTTGTAGCGTATCGGTCGGAAATGACCTCAGCTTGGCGAACAGATAATATCCGACCTTGGACATTCGCGTACACACACCCACACACGCATACGCACATCAGCTGATCAAAAGAATATGAGGTGTTCGTACCGAATAGTACCATAATTAGGACGTTAGCAATAACTGGGTCGGTGCTGCGGTCTTCTCTCTATCTTCTATCTTTATGCAAACGACCAGTCGTCACAGATCAAAGGAGACCATTCATAACACATTAAGGATGGTTTCCGAAGGGTTGGGGTTCCTTTAGTGGGACACAAAGAGTCAAATGTGGGCTGCAGACAATGGCAAAGTGAACACCGGCACTTGTCTCCGAACGAACTGTTCCCAGAAGGGTTTCAAAGGTTCATCAGATAGAAAGAGGTGTAGTTCGCGAACTGTGTACAACTCGGGTTCGCTAGAAAATAAGGCTGAGTGAAACTCAGGGACTTCGCTTATCTGATGATCTTCAAGAAGGGCGAAACCGGTTGTGCGCAGCGGAATAGTTTTAAGCAACCTCACCAAGTGTGCTATCGCTGGGTAGTGTTGTGCGATACGCTGAATATCGCACTGACTGAAACATGATATTTGGAAAATATCATAAAAAGGAGAATCAAATGGGAGGCAGTTGAGTCCTGTATCTGAACGAAGTAGATGTGAGAGGACTGGGTGTACTGCGTACACTTTGGGTTAAGTATAAACTCAACCTGACGGCAACTTGGGGACTGCCCCCACCTGATGAGCACAAAGAAGGTGCGACCGTTGGTGTGATTCCGAATAGTTTTCAGCGACCTTATGAGTAGTGTGTTCCGTCTTATTTGCGACCAATCTCCAAACGGACGGTGTGTACTTTAATATGCACATCAGAGTGGCACGTAGGTTGAGGTGGGAATTTGTCTAGCATGTAGTCAGTTTATAGAGGTAATACGCTACTCATAATGTTGCTGAAAATTCTTCGAAGAGATATTCAGCTGGATTCCAAGTGAGTCCCCAGCAAAACCAATTTTTTTTTGCAACTGAGTATAGTTCGCTAACGTAGTCGTTTTCTTCACTTGTCTACTTCAGTGCACAGCTTCTGTGGCTCGGCCACGCCCGACAAGTTGCACTTTTAAATCAGGGAGATCGAAATGTGCCAGAGCATTCTTTCAAGCTAAAAGTAGACTATCCATAATTTTGCCGAAAACTCTTTGGCAACCTGCGACCGGTTCCACCCTTCCCCAGTCTCATTAGGTAGACTCAGCCCCTCCTCTGTTCGAATTCAAGTTACACGAGATTCGGCAAATACACTCACCCACATACCAACTTAGTTTTCACGGGAGATTCACCTGGGTCTCTCGGTTACGATATAATTCAGCTTGATTTGCTGCAAAAGGCCGTCTCCTGTTTCAGTTGGTACGATATTCAAAATGGTGCAGTCCAGTTTCTTGGAGGAACACTACTCATAAGGTTGCTGAAACTTCCTCGAAACCGGCTGTAGGCTGTTAACACCAGAAAAATCAATTGTCAGTTTTTTGTTGCTTTTCACCGATGCATCCTTGCCCGAAACGATTGACTGAATCTACATGTGGTCCAGGATGAGTTTGCCGTTTCCTTAGTGGACTGAAAGGAACCGTTTTCTTGTAGTACACACTTGAGACAGTTCTTTATCAACGGTATTGTCCATAAACAAAGAGGTAAAGTTTCCATGACTTCTTCCCTTTTCCCGTTTTTATCAATTATTCATCGATTATTATCAATTATTTACCAATTGTTTTGGAACTAAACTCTGAACAGTTCATAATTCATCAAGGCCATGTCGACGATATTTTCGTATTGTCACAGTGTAATCAAGGTAATTCTGGATACGGCAGGTACTCACATTTGCACACGAATTCGATTTCGACAGGTCACTCAAATAAATCCAGCTAAATCTCTCACATATGAAGGTCCACGATCCAGCAACCTTGTGAGTAGTATGTTACGTTTGGGTAAAATTGAACACTTTTAATTCCCTGCCTTCGGCAACCCACCTCACCCCGAAGCGGGAAATCGATAATACTTTTCCGTTTCTTGCATTAGCTAAGAAACAAGACGGCACCCCCCTAGGACAGGTAGTCAACTTAGTCTATACATACATACTACATACAGTTCCACAACTCGTGGGCATGCAGTACAAACCTGATTTTTTTAGGTGTCTAGGAAACACGGATGATGCACTAAACGCAGAGTTGGCATCCACATCAAGGACCCAGACGGAAGATGGAGAAGTTTGAAATAAAATATTTGAGATGACCCCGTACAACAGAAAATGGTAGAAGCCCGTTAATCTCGAGGATACCATTCAGAAGTGATTCTAAAACAGTCAAGCTTCCAGTCAGAAAACACTTGATAGTGCTCACTGAAGGAACCATTCTAGCGGTGATCAGGGCTCAACACAGGCTCACTAGTCTTCTACGATGATGTATTCATCCGCTTACTACTGTACCGCGAGCTGCTTTGGTCGGACGCTTCGAGGCCCATCTGTAGGACAGGGAACCAACTAAGTTAAGCACGTGACAAGCTTGATGACAGATCAGCTGATCGATACGGAAAACAAATCAACCCGGCTAGGTCTTTCAGCCTGATGCATCGAATGCCACCAAAATATTCCGAGACAAGACGCGGTCGCAACAACAGAGACGATCTCCTGCGCCAGTCAGCATTGTCATCAAAGGTCACGTGAATGTCTCGGTTGTTCTTAACTAGCCTGAGTTGAGTAACTTAAATATTGTCTTTTTTATCGTATCCTCAATCAAGTATTATGCAAATATGTCGCCCATGTATTCTATTTACACCTGTATTTGACAGTCGAAACTTTATTGAAAACAATTCTTATGCCAAAAAACGAGAATGGTCAGTGAACAAAACTCATTATTACTCTGAGTGGTGGTGCGAGTTGAGTTCGAACACCTAGTTGCTTTGGTTACTTCAGCAAAGATGAAGATCATCAAATTGTGAATTTAAGATTCCCTGGAGACGTTGGTTACACTTCAAGGACTGGGTTTTTCAAAGCCACGCGAATCTTTGGGGTGATCGGCTTCTGTGACATGCGTACTAAGGGGCATTCAGTCCAAAGAATACTTACCACATAAGGCACTTTTGTAGACAGACAGAGAGCGTAAGGAAGGGACTGGTCGTTGTACAGTGGTATGAGTATGGTGTGAGGGGATAAAAATGTTTTTTAAGCGAAAATACTTTCTTTACTGGGACGTTTACTTTTGTGTCGTTCTACTAGGTTGGTAATTGAGGGTTTCGCACTCAAGCGAACTGGAACAATGGAACACGTGATATAAGTGAATTTTGGATCGGTTAAGAAAACGGGGTTGCTTTCCGTCCCTCGTATACCAATTTTTCCCTATTTTAACCTATTCTACCTGTCCGTTCACCTTTAGATATTACCGAATGGAACTCGGATATCACCCATCGATCGCTAAATCAGAAATTCACAGGGGATTGAACAAAATTCAACTTTCTGTCCAGTTTTGCCTATCGTTCGTTCACTCTCGTCCGTTCGTCTTAATTTTACGAAACTCATATGCTGGACTCCTGAATCGAGGCGAACGAACGAACGACCGAATCGTGCCATACCAAAAACGCATGGCGTGATGAGTGATGAACGGACACGCATCGTTTGTTATGGTGTCGTGAGAATATCATCATGGGTTGAGCGAGTGTGAGGGCGAAAATGGACCGCGCGCTTACCAACTTACTGCACAATGTTCGTATCAGGGAGACCTAAAAAATGTGTTGAGTGTGCGGCGAATATGCACAGCTAACATAAGGCCTTTCGTATGTGCGTCCGTACATCTCTGTGGACCGCTGACTTAGCGGACAAGCATGAATGCACACAAACACATAGGCTTGCACACACACGTCATGCGCGCCATCGCATATGACTTGCATCTTAAAACATGATTGGCTGGATCGAACGCATCATAACCCATGCCTCAACCGGACCAACAAGTGAACGCGCAAGCACGTGTGAGTGTGCACGTGTACGTGTGCATCTGTGTACAAGTGCGTTCGTATGCTCTCATCTATGCTTATGATCTTACGACTGTAGAGTCATTCCCCCGTTTGCTTCCTATACATTTCACCCCTAACGCAGGACAATAACTCTGTCCCTTATTTCAAAATGCGCCCCCTTTATCGCGCACGCCTGCACAAACCAATAAGCGAAGACTGCACTATAAAAACAGTCTTTCCTCTATCCGCATTCACGCAAAAACGAACGAATTTCACTGAGGAGTGAACATGAGGCCGACATTCTGTGCAACTTCCACTGATCAGTCAGCTAACGTATTTGCTCCGAAATATCACAGGCGTCAGCAGTTTGTCAACCGTTTGACAAGACATCAAGTTCAACATTCCATCCGGAAACTCGATGCTCAACTACGCCGGGAACTAACCGTTCGCCTACAACTTCATCGTGTGTTGCGTCGCATGACAATACAAACACATCATTTGTCCTCTGACAAAGAACAACGTAATGGATTTAGCTCACCGTCAAATGATCATTCAACTCAGAATTTGTTCAAACAAGCTCGGAAACTTTTGGAAAAAATTCATCCCAAACCTGTCGTGATAGCAAAAGACGGCCGTGTTGTTCAGTCAACCCTTGGATCACGTTATCTTCAGCCCTCACCAGCAACTTACCAAAACGTGATAAATATGCCACTGAAAAAGATGTTTATCCAACAACTTTTGGAGCAAAATGGTGAGTCTTACTACTATGTCTGGGGTTCTTTGGTTTGTACTGTTTTCAAAAGTCAGGTGATAAACTTTTCATACCCCTAGTAGGTGGCGAAAACTAAAAACGCCTTCTATGGGAATAAGATTAGCGGTTATGTTTGTTCCTCCCCACACTACAAGACTGGAATTTGTTCCAGTTGTGCTAATGGAAGGAGATGATTGTTGTAAAGTAATGTATCTCGTGGTTTGGGTGGGTCAAGACCAGCCAAACCTGGTCACCATATTTACCGAAACAAAACAAACAGAGAAGTTGTTGAATGCTCGGGTTTAAGAGACAGGTTGACGGTGTGATAGTTACGGATTATGCATATATTAGTTGCCAACCCACCCCACCTGACACACCACCAACTGTATCGAAGACAAGCTGATCAGAACACGGACGCATTCGTAAGCAGTACACACATGGAGGCAAGCAGCGTGTGCGGAGAACATTACTTCACCCCGGCATATAGATATTGTGGTGCATATTGATTTAGAGGCGGAAAAAGCAGGTGTAAAAGTTGGTTATTCACCTGTCTTCGAAGTGTTTAGTGGGGTTCGGTTATCATGTGTACGAACAAGTTGGTACTGTTAATGAAGAGTTCCCGGAAGTACCGCAGGTTGACGATCTTACGCGGGGACACTGCCAAGAGGCAGCTATTGTATTCTTTTGGAATCAGGATGGAATCAGGTTTTTCATAGCGAACATTGTTTGATTGGTGACTTTTCCTAGCTCAGGTTGCTGGGATCCTTCGTGTTTAAGTTGACTACTGATTGGTTATGAGCGACAAACCTGTTTAGTACTGTGATGTAGATTTGAATCAACTTGATGATTCGGAAGTTACTTATTGCCATTTATTTCCAGAATAAGGGAAACACCTGTACACTGTCGTTCCGTTTTTAAATAAAAACGAGTCGATAATTTCGAGAAAAACCGTTAAGTAAGTACCTTCAGGTCAGACCAGGTTCACAGGTGTATGGGATTCGACATGGATCGTCCTGTCAACGGTGTCTGGACTATTGGACGCTGGTATCACTATGACAATGAGTGGTTACGACGCGTGAAGTAGGGACAAACTAATGAAGCTCTGAAGCATGACAATACCACGAAATGTGGATACCAGTTATCTCAGATACATCAGATTTATTTCGGTTTTTTAGTGTAGGCCAGGTTAAGTGAAAGTTTTGTCCCTTGGATTCTCAGTACACGTTCTTGTTCCTCGTAATTGTTCTCTGTGGAACGATATCCTATCATCTGGTGTTGTCCAGACTGTGTGAATCCAATGGGGAAAAGGCAGCAAAACGGTGCTTGACCACTTTTGGTGCCTGAGAACATCACAACGAGAGATTTCAGCTGGGTTCCAGGTGAGTCTCTCGAAAAAACCAAATTAGTTTGCAAATGAGTGTATATTCGCTCATTTCGTGCGATTTGGTTTCAAGTAGAACGTAATGTTGACGGAAACCCCGGGGACTGCGCCTACCTGATGAGCCCCAAAAGGGGCGAAACCGGTCGTGGGCTATCGACGGATTTTCAGCAAGCTTATGAGTAGTACATTACAAACATACCGTCACTTGTTCGTCCCTTGCAGACCAGCGACAGCAGCACCCATAGTGGATAAAAACAGCGGAATTGCTTGTGAAATTTTGAAACGGTCTTTTGGTGGGAAAGCTTTCCATTCTTCAACAGAGCCAATCTGTTTTCAGTGCAGCTAAAAAGGTCAACGTGTATGATACATAGTTCAGATGGGTAGACGATAATTGCAGTACATCTTGTCAGCGCGAACCTGGGGGTTCATTTTGATGAAATCAGTAGCCAAGTTGGTTAGTCTGTCATTATGGACTCCTCAGGTCTGAATCGTGGTGACCCGTCCACCATGTGGCTAGTCCTTCCATAAGGAACCACAATACCGCAATTCCATGCCTTACTCACTAACTCGGTAGTCACTAGACTAAATGAGTGCTACTCAGTTAGACTATGAGGCTATCTGTCCATATATTGATCGGGGCCTAGGCGATGAAATATATTGTCATTAGACATCTTTTTGGCACAAATGATGATTGGGGGCATTCCACAAGCACTCCAGATTGCGTCAGGTGTGCGCTGAGTACCGTTCGGTTTTCGGTTACTTTGTTGCGAATTATTTCGACAAATTCCCCAATTACACAGCCGCTTATTTGGAAGGTCCTTGCAGGCTGTGCCATCTGCGCCAAGCTTCAAAACCAGGAAAGCACGGTTTGATCCATCTTTATAGTTGAAATGGTCCGTGCTAACTTGAGAAAAAAATCCCAGGAACTATGGGAAATATATTGTTGGATCCGAAAAAGTTCAACCATATGGGGATTTTGTCCTTGGCGTAACTTATCATCGGGTTTGCTTAGATGGAATTGGTCACGTGACCCTTTGGTCAGCTGATCTCAGGAGCACGCGTCCTGAGTCAGCTTTGCGGTTTCAACCATAAACACTTGTTCAGACACCAAGTCCACAGTCTGATATTTACCAGGTCTTCTGTGACGGTCGACAGCAGCGTGATTTTCGTAAAGAAAACTACTCACAAGGTTGCTGAAAACTCTTTGACAGCCCACGACTGGTTTCAATTGAGTCTCCCGTGAAAACAAAATAGACTTCCAAATGAGTTCCATCTTTATGGTTGAGTAGTTCACATGTAATGTTTAAGCAACTAAACCGAATTGATTTGTAAATGAGTGTATTTCTCGAAAACAGACTAATTTGGGTTCAAGTAGATCATAAGGAAACTCGGGGACCGCGCCCACCTGATGGGCCCCAAGAAGAGCGAAACCGGTCGTGGGCTGTCGCGGAGTTTTCAGCAAGACTGTGAGTAGTTTCCTTTAGGAAAATATACTGCGATATCTCGAATATCGTGCCAACTGAAATATGAAGCGGCCTGTGTGCAGCACATTCAGTTGTAGAATATCATAAACGAGAGATTCAGTTGAGTCTCTCGTGGTAACCGAATTGATTTGCAAATGAGTGTATTTCTCGGAAACTCAAGTTCTGTTCTTCTCCTCTTTGTCATGGGCTAGCTTCAACAACATAGAATGAAGGTTTTCTATAGAGGAGAATGTCGGTAGCTCAGGTAGCGTAGATGGTCGTTGGCATGTTCGCTGAGCTGGGCAATTTGGTTGCAAACGTTTCATCACCAATCGAGGTGACATCATCAGTGCGTAGTTGTGCGTAGCGATGGGTTAGTGGTTGTGTGGGCATAGAATGAGGGTTGTTCAGAGGACGCCGATTTGATTGCCATAGTAATTGTTTTCAGATTGTCTGAATTCTATTTGTCACCGAGGTAAGGGAAGTAGTGGTCATGTGAGGGCAATGATTTTTGCGCTGTGTGATCCTAGCGAACACGTGAGGCGCTTTCGTATATCATAGAGCGTTGGGTAGCATACGGCAAATCCTGAAATAAGGGATTAATACCATATGATCTTGGCGGAACACTGATCACATGGTTACTGAAAATTCTTTGAAAACCCACGGTCGCATTTACCCTTCTTCTGGCTCATCAGGTAGATCAACCGAGGGAACATACTACTTATACGCCTGCTGAAAACTCTTCGACAGCCAGTTTCATCCTTTTTGGCGTTCATCACGTGGGCATGGTGCCCCAAATTGATGTCCTGCTTAAAAGTAGATTGAACGGAATTCATGAACTACACTCATTTGCACACGGATTCGGTTTTATCATACGATAGTCCACCAGTGATGTGCCGCACAAAGGTCGGCATTTTTGTACACATTCATAAATGAGAAATTCAACTTGGATTCACCTGAGTCCCTCTTTGAAAAACCAAACCCTAGTACGCAAATGAGTGTACTTCACTAATGGATGGGGCGAGATGGCCCAAGTGGTAGAGGACAAATTTACTGACCGGAAGGTCCGTGGTTCGAATCCGACCTCCGCCACTCGACTTCCCCTGTCTACACTTGGGCAACCTGGCAGTATCCCAGCCCTCGTGCTTCCTTCGGGTGGCATGGCAGCTAGGCACCGGAATGGTGCTACAGCTGAACGCTTTCTTTCATTCTGTCTCACTAATGGATGCACACTTCTTGGTGAAATCCTTTTAACAGGCAAATTAAAAAAACGATGAGCGGCAGGAGGTTGTTGCCTTCCTGAATAGTCTGCTGGTACGAGACTACTCGATTCAAGTGGTTGCTATAACAAACCATCTGACTTATCAATCCCTACGCAACGATATTCAAATGTCGCATTTGTCTTCGACTTCCCAGTTTCTTCCAAAATTATTCATCAGTTGAGATGTGCGCAATTTGCAAAGGTCACCGTAGCCCGTTTGAAACAGAGCGAGTGTTTGGTTAAGGTGTAGGTAGGAAACCTAAGTAGTAGCACCACTACTTAAGTAGTATAGTTATGCTGCTTGTAATGTTTCACCACCGAACGGACACATTTTGTCCATGTGGTGGAAGTGGTCAACCGTAAATGGAATTCCTCACAGGTAAAGCTAAACCAGACTTCTAGAACCATGATTTAAATCTTGAGACCGTATCCTAAGCCCGAGCACTGTTCCAGTCCCAAGTAGCTTTGGTGCACATTGCAGCCATGCAATGTGATTTGATTTACCAGTTTTCCTGTTGATCACCCTGGTCCATCCAAAACGGTGCACTGACTACTTGTTTTTGCCTTCAGCGCATATATTTTGCGCCATAGGTCTTGAATTCAAACTCTGATAATGGAAGCACATCGTTAACCACTGGACTAAATCGTCGAATGTACAACCGTGCTACTTTGAGCTTGAACTTTCACAGTACTCGGCCATCCTTTGACATTTGAAAGTCTGACGAGAGGTCAGTGGGCTGCCAGTTATTGACGATTCTCATGCCGGGCGGGGCCTGTGTGTAACAGTTAATGGGTAATAACCTGTTCAGAAAGCGATCAAAGGCTGGATCGAGAAAGTGAGCAACAGGAATGATAAAGACAAGTATTCCAGCACTAAGCATGGGGCAGTCTGAACACATTTCAGAGTTAAGTTGTGAAACTTACTGGGCAAACATACTCCAAACGGTTTCCAGCGGGTCTTGTAACCAATGGCTTTCGGTTAGACTACTCCGTGCGCTGTAAACAGATGAGGGCGATTCGAAAGATCCGACCTTACCTGAAAGTGTTGCTAACTTTCAGTTGGTCTTTTGTGCTGTGAAACGAGCGAAATCTGCGTCAGATGCTTTAGAGATAAGGCGAAATAGACCTACAATCCAGTCCACTTAGATTCACAACCCTTGGTGATGCGCTATAACGACGCGGTTTGTCACGAATATAGTCCGTTCTTGGGATGTGTACCTTTTGTGATGTATCTCAGTTGTTTTGTCTGCTCAGAACAACACACCTGTGATGAAGATCTTTCGCACACTGGATCTTGCCACCAAACACATCTTATCGAACAATTTCTGCACTACGTATAACTTTTAATTTCCATCGAATTTTGTATAGACTACTCATAAGGTTGAAGCCATCAAGAACAATTTCTGCACTACGTATAACTTTTAATTTCCATCGAATTTTGTATAGACTACTCATAAGGTTGCTGAAAAGCCATCAACTTCTAGTTGAGCTTCCATAAATTCCAAGGCGACAAATGCTTTGATCATCTGTTCGTAACAACTCGAGTTGATGAATGGACAAAAGGTTACCTTTTTATGTTGGAATGAGTTACGCGAACTACACTCATTCGTAAATCAAGCTCGAGAGCGTTTCAGTTGGGTCTCCAACACAAAGTTGGCTTGCGGACTGCGTAAAATTTTGTGTTTAGGTAGAAAACAAAGTTGGGCAAAACCCTTGACCTTTCTGTCCACATGATAAGCTCGCCCAAAGCGGAGCAAAACCGATCATCCATTGTCGAATAGTTTCAACAACAACCTTATTAGTAGTGTGTTCCATCGAGGAGAAAAGTTACAAAAAGCACTCGGGTGTTCAACTAAATTGTCCAGATATGATTTTCCAGGCGACAATAAGACAATTTTGGAAGGTAGGTTAGGAATTTAACTTGCAGAAGAGCTGTCACCCAGTCGTGTCATTTTCTCTGAGTTAAGAAAACTCATCATGAATTGGAACTGTTTTGAGCGAATATGCACTCGTTTGCAAACTAATTTGGTTTTTTGGAGAGACTCACCTGGAACACAGCTGAATCTCTCATTTATGATGTCCTCGGGTAACTGAATGTGCTGCACCAGGCCGCCTCATGTTTCGGTCGCTACGATATTCGAGATATCGCGATACATATACATCTTTGTAGTGTACTACTCATAAGGTTACCGAAAATCCGTCGACAGCCTGACAACATCACAAACGAGAGATTCAGCTGGGTTCCAGGTGAGTCTCTCGAGAAAACCAAATTAGTTTGCAGATGAGTGTATATTCGCTCATTTCGTGCGATTTGGTTTCAAGTAGAACGTAATGTTGACGGAAACCCGGGGACTGCGCCTACCTGATGAGCCCCAAAAGGGGCGAAACCCGTCGTGGACTGTCGACGGATCTTCAGCAACCATATGAGTAGTAGAAAGATATGCAGGTGTTTTTCTTTGCCTGAAGAAGTTCTGACTGGGAAGTTATAAAACACTCTCGGAACACTCTGGTCAGTTTAGATCAGTGGCACCATTCATTCAGAGCTTTTTACTCAAACAAGACTTGGCGACATTTCCTGGGTTCGTCAAACCGCATGCTTTTTAGTCGATTGAAAAAAAGCATACAAGTGAAACGGCGTACAAGCGTTTGCTATTCTAAACTTATTGCAACCATCGAGCACGGCACAGTAATTCTGTTTGAAGTTTCCGAAATTTGGGGTTCGTGAAACGGTGTCGCCAACTCCTCTCCGCGGACCACAGCTCGCGGTGAATACAACGTCATGCTATTTCGTAACTCTGGCAGTCACTCTATTCGGTTTAGAACGATGGCGCCTGTGAGATTACACATGAACGTTGGTATGGTTTCATCCACCATACATATTCATTAGGCTTCCGGGGGGGGGGGGCTTGATTTTCCGATACACACATATCAGGTCAGCAAGACAGTTCTTTAATGTAGAGTTCGGTGAAGTTTGGACGCCAATCGGAGGGATATGTATCACATTTTCGTACTTTTATAAGATCAGATCAAAGGTAATTTCAAAACAGTCGTCACCTCAGTCGTGTTCGGGCTAACAAGCATCGTCGTCATCAAGATGACGAACATGGCGAACTCGTGCGAGATTTTCATGCCTACACACAACACTCACGACACAAACAAACACACACACACACACACGCGGTTTCGCCGTTTTGGTAAATTTAAGCGAATATGATAATGAAGACATTTCTTTTTGGCCGCTTTCAACCGTGCCGCTTTCATCTTTCTATGGGGCACCGTGCATCGTGTGCGATCACGCGTCAATATTCATGATCCACGACTCAGTGCAGCAGCTCACAGCTTTTATCCGATCCACATGGAATCTATCGATTTCGATTTAAAAAAAGGGCCAATCATCGCATGAATCTGACCAAATTCATCTGGCCGTTTATGGTCAGGGCATGTGCAACCCAGTGAAATACAGCCACTGTGTGCGGTTTTTTGTGACCATCGATTCGGTTTACCCTCAAAGGGAAACGAGAACCAGTGGACCCACTTGTGTTGGTGACCACGCCACTGGAAATCTGTCCCAGAGAACTGGCAGGCGTAGCAGATCCATTGGTACTCGTATATTTGAGGTGCTTCAATCAGTACAAAACTGCCCTTCTGAATACTCCACTTATCACTATTCATGTACACAACCACCAGCTTGCAGATGCTGCGCAGTTGTATAGCTATTATCTCCGTCCACAGGGACGTTGGTAAGCGAATATATTGCAACAAGTACTCCAGTAAAATCGGCGACGATCACAACTAAGTACAACCATATGGCGATGTACGTGGTGGTCATGATTGTCACTAAAATTACTAATAAAATTATTATTGATAGTGTTGGTAAAAGTATTAGTTGTTGTATTCACTCTATGGTCATGATTCGAAAAAATAAACGATACTGCTATTAATATAAGTAGTAGTATCAGCATGAACCTTGGAATCATTTCAGTTGACTGGTAACACGCTAACGGATAGCTTGCTCTCCGCTTCTTTACGTTCCCCGCCACACTTCTCACCCGTTCCTGTATGTTCAGAAATAAAGATTTCATCCTACGAATCTAGTGAACCATTAGAAAGAAACTGTCTAGCTGGAATGAACTAGCTGTTAAAAACAGTTGAAATGTCTACCCAAGAAACGTTTTCAGGCTTTTCTCTGCAGCTTTTATCCTTTGCTTCATTAAGGCAGACTGGTTGGGGAAAAAGCCCACAGTTCTTCTCAGTGCGCCACTGTACCGGCAATTTTTAAACACAGTACTGATCTCTGGCAAGTACTCCTAGTCTGGATGATTTTTTCTTCACTGCTGTATTTTAGGTCAGACATATCCTAAAATAAAAAGAGTTTGACAGTAGTGTGAGGATATTTGATAATTTTTTATTGGGATTTCGCCAGTCAGCGAGGCTAATCTATGCTGAAGGGCCGAAAAGTACTGTACAGTTATTTCATCTCTGTTGAGAATCATCAGTAGTGCGCATCTCGTAAAACTCTAAGAGTTTCGAACCCGCGGCCTCCCCTGCCAGTGCTTGAACACTTAGTGGTTTGATCTTGAGCCGCTGATGAGCAGTTTGATTAGCCCTCACTTAGACAGTAAACCACGTCACGTGCCGGAAAGGTCCCGCGACACAAAATGCAACAGAGTTTATGTCCTGTGCGAACAGTCGGACATAAATGTTGATGAATTCAGATCAAAACTGTTAGATTCTCCTTCATTGGGCACTTCAATCCCTTTTTCAGCTACAAGATCTGAAGAATCTCCCGAGAAATATCGTGGTGGCCACCCGGAACGTATAAGTCCACCGGTTTTGGAAGCCTTACACGAGGTCAATCAGGTTGATATAGAGGCTCATGACAACGGACTACCATCTCTGAATAAATCTATCACCAAGTTTGGCAAAGACCCGCATCTTGTTGAAGTCAACAGTGGTACCGCTTGGGGTGTAAGTTCGGACACAGCGTTAGACCTGAGCACAAATCAGAGTAGACATTCCGCGCACGTGATTCACCGCCCCTGGAACAATGACAACACGAACCAAGAGAATTGTGAGCCAAATAATCCCTCTCCCCTGAGGTCCGTCACTGATGACTCGCGAACAAAGCTTCATGAAATCCCTCCGGCCCATCGACGGATGTCGTTTAGTGCTGCCGAACTGTTCAAGGCGCATAACTCACCGAGTTCGGATCCCTCCGCTTCTGTTGGTGATCTTTTTTCCCCCGACTATATGAGCCGTATCTCAGCAAAGATGAATTTAACCGGTATTTCGATGAACTCCTCGTTCCCTCATCTCTACCAGACGACCCCGTCGATCGATCTTCTAACCGCCGCTTACGCAGCAGCTCTGACCCATGGCGGTCAGAATGTTGGGAGCACGGGTACAATCGTTCCTGGCAGTTTATTGTTCCAAACTCAAATGGATCAATCACATCCCACGGAGGAGAGAAGTACAAGGCATTTCACTTCGTTCAAGGAGTCAGATACAATACAGTCACGTGACCTGATTACGTCAGGAGGTTTTCCTGCCACACAACCATCCGTTTTCTATCCCAACGCCTACTGGTCTACCCACCTAGCAGCTAACGCGACAAACAACCATGATGTCTACAACATGTCAACAAGTGCTTCCGCTCTCTCAAAAGGACATTATAATGACCAAACTGCTCTGGATGACCTAGAACAAGAAGATTTGGGCATGCGCTCGAGTCACTGTACTCTCTCACCCACCAACAGCCGGACACGTCCGTCAGAAGACTACTTGGAACAGTTCATGAAGGTCGATCAGTCGCAGAACATACTCTGGCGCCAACTTGCCGATCGATTTCAGCGCACGCTGGCTCCCAATCAATGTGGGGTGTGTAACAAGGTGTTGAGTTGTCGCAGTGCTCTCACGATGCACTACCGAGTTCATACAGGTAAGCTGCTTGTTGAATTGCACTCATGCTATATCGTGTTTTATCATCCTGACATGTGCGCGCAAATCGCATTTTCCAATGGTTTATGATTGTAGGAGCACACCTGTGCTAATTCTGCGTCGGTGGGGCTGCATACATTATCGGACATGAAATGGCGTGTTTTGAAAGTGAAAGTCGATAGACACGCAACCGCCAAATGAAAACATCGAGGACAGAAATCGGTTATGCATCCGAGGCATGATTGATTAGGAGCTTGAAGTTAACTAGGATTCAAAATGTTTCAAAACAAAACCGCAAAACACCAAAGCGGATGAGAAATTCTGCTACCTGAGCAAAATTCGTCCTGTTTACTGCATTCCAGATATAAGTAGCAAATGACAGTTTGGTTTTTGGGAACAAATCCGTTGCACGTGATAGAAAGTGTTTTCTACAGAATCTACCAAATGACGAAATAGATTCGCACCGGGCCTACTTCGTCTCTTTGTTGGGAGGTTTCACTTACATCGATGGTTGCAAGATAGCATTTGACCACATGTCGTGGCGTCTTGAGCTGGCTGAGTTATCGGGGCCGGGAAGGTTCACAACATGGGAACTGTTTAACTCGGTGACACCGTTGTGAGAACCTTGTGTGTCGCGCAACCGAGTGAGCACGATGCAAAAAAAAACGGTTGATGAAGGGGCATCACGACAACTCGCGTAAGTGGTAAAATCTAATGAGTCGAAAATCGATAATCAAAGAAAAACAAATCACCAGTTTGTGGGCATGATGCTGCTTTTGCTACAATGTCTCTCAAGTATTGAACAAGAAGACGCTGTTGCGGTTCTAATTAGGACCAGCGGAAAACTCTGAGTCATTCCCAGAAAGTGAACGCATCGAATCGACACAAGTGCGACAGAGATGTTAGTTGGAAGACGGTTATCCAGCAGCCCGGCCTTCAACATATCTCCACACTCACATTGATACCAGCCAACAATCCGTGAGGTTTTCGGTCCGAGTGTCCAATCTATTTTGGTGAGACCTGAAATCCACAGCCCTGGTTTAACCATGATTACCAAATTGATTCTTTTACAAGTCAAGATCCCTGACAGTTCTTTTACGACATTCTTACTCTTTGAGGCTGGTGAATGCCCATCATCTTCGTAGAAGATGTGGAAGATTGGTGTGTAGAAGGGTAGGAATAAAGGAAAGGTGCAATTTCAGGGGCACAGACAATTAGCATTCAACGTATAGATAAGGAGGGTAGCCGTCAGTAGGGATGGGTCCTGGAGGAAGGTAGTGAATGTGTCCTGGTGTCATCAGTTTGGTTCAAACCATGCCTAGCTTTCCGAAGATCAAGCATGTGCGGCAATCTGTGAAATTCTCAAGGCCAAGCAGTTCGTATATACGCACAGTAGCTGATGCCAAATATTGTCAAGGTCAACTCCAGCTAAGTAGATTTGTATACATGAAAAAGGACAATCTTCATGCGTTAGTTTTCAACTCATTTTGATCTATCCATGTTTCTGGCTCAAAACTGAATTGTACTGGCCACTAGAACATGCACCACTCAGTACAAGAGCTGCGACACAGCTGTTGTCTTGGCAACAAGCACGGAGTTAGCATAAACTTGGCAGGGAAAACCTGAAACCTATCCGTGTGAACTCACGACTGCGGTTAGTGATTGGAGAGACTACAGGAGTCTCCGTAAATACTGATGACCTTGACTGACTCAGCACTGGTCCTGCAGTACTTTGTGAGTCCAGAGAAAAGTTTTCTGCACGGATGATTGTCCGACTAACCTCTATCCAGAAAGACCCACTCAAAGACAGTTTGCGTTTGTTAGACTTCAGGTACCATAATAGTATTAATATAAGTCTTCTACGCAGTATGACACTCAACAGTAACCGGTGAAAACGATCGCCCCAGGTGGTGGATATTGTAGAATGAAAAGTAATGCACTCTGGTGAAAAAATTCCTCGTATTACTTGATTTCATAAAAGTGGGAAGTTGAACGATGACGTTGGGATAATTTTCCCAGCTTTCCGACCGGGAAGTTGGCCGTTTGCCGCATTGGAATGCTGGCAGAGACTTGATCGGCCTGGGGGAAGACGTTGAAGATGGTATTGTACGTGATACTCAGATGCCCGGTTGACTGCAATGTGTAGCTGAATGCAGGCAGCCACTGCAAAATGGGAGAACGTAGACCGATACCGAAGTGGACCTTGTGTATGAATAAAGGACAAAGGTTGACATGACCTACACCACGTGAGAGAAGCCGCACAACATCCAGGAATGCGAATCAGACAAGGTCATCCGAAGACGGTTATTGTCAAAGTTGAATGCATACACACACACACACACACAAACAGAGTCTGCTCAGATGTACACTGCGCCTATCCGACTAATAGAAAGGGGTATTTTACAGATGGGTTCCGATAACTAATATGTATGAGAATGAAGCATTGGCCACCATGGTTAATTTAGTCTTTTTTTAATCTTTCAGAGGAGCGACCATTTGTTTGCATTATATGTGAAAAACGGTTTTCAACGAAAGGAAATCTGAAAACGCACTTGGGGGTAAGCGTTACACCTTTCACGTGATGCGTAAACAGACTAGTTTCTTGAATTTTTGAGTGAAGCTCATTCGGTCTGGCCTCATCATGTATTCTGAATTTAAGCTTTCCGCGTTTTTTGAAGGTGAAAACCAGATTTCATCACTAACACCACGTTTGTTAGTGTTTCGCCATTCCATTACTATCAAGGGTTTTCCAAAGTACTCACTTCACAGTCAGATTTTATTATTATTTACTTGTTATTTATTATTTTAGCAACATCACGAAACTATTGAAGCCTATCGAAATGCGGTGGCTGTTGCCATGGCGACAGGGACGGCACTACCACGACCGCCACCAATGTCGTCCTCGGCTACACTGCCTCCTCCTACGGGGAAGATTCCTTCAGGGGAAACACAGCTAGCCCCACAATTCCAAAAAGCGGAAAATGGCTCAAGTCTTTATGCGGGAGGCGCTGGCGACAGTCTGACAGGAATACCGTCACCGACAGATCTATCAATGATGATGAATACAGGTGCACTTTCACTTCCATGGGCCACGCACTCAGGACTGTTTCCGTTTGCTCGCTCTGCAATTCATCCAAACCTCAGTAGTTCCACACATTCTGATTGTCCAAACGAATCAAGGCAGACCGAAACGTTCAACACTTCTTCGATTGGAACGGACGAACGTAAACCAAATCAGTCCAGTTTACTTGTCTCACCGAGTGGTCGGCTCGATTCGGGGTTTTACACAAGCCCATCAAACCCATTTTCTCGAAATCATGGAGAAGAACCGAAGACAGGATCACCAACCACCAGTGCGAGTTCGGTAACCCCGCAAAATGAGAGCACACCGGTTAAGACCAAATTCTTCCAAGGATTTCCCAAACCTCATGCTGAATTATCAATTTTGGCGACGGAACAGTGTACCTAATACCTCCCCGTTAAGACTTTGCTTTCGTTTCGGAGCACAATGTGTATAAAAGCTGCCAGTTTATTTAAAATCTAGTTACCACTTTGTATAGAATATGCATAAACTCGTACTAATCAAACTGAGCGGTATTCAGCAGATTAGTCTCTCAGTTCTTCGCTACCTATATTCTTGGTGTTTTCCATATTTACATGCGCGCATGTGAACAAGATATACTTAGAAAAATGTCTGACACTTCGTTTTATTTTCACACCTTTGGTGGATATCTCATCAGATTTATTGGAAAAACGGGTGGCAGTGATTAAAACTGACAAAGGCATTGAGCGATAATCAATGGGAATACACTTTAGACAAGAAGGGACAGTCTCCATATCCGGGACTTTAGTCAGCGACCTGCCGCTTCTCTGAGAGAGTGAGAAACGAAAAAAACAGACTAATCAACTGAGATTTCGTCCTGTCAGTGTGTGTCCAATGTGTGCCAAAACCCAAGAATTACTCTGAAGCTGTTTTATCTTTATTGCAAATCATCAGTTGTGCACGCAACTCAGAGTTTCGAACCCATGACCTTTCGTCCAGAGGCTGAACACTTAACGGTTCGACCATGAGTGCCTGAACAGCAGTGTGATTAGAACTCACTGTAGAGTGCCTCGCTGTTTTACAGCATAGATTGGCTTCTCTGACAGGAAGAAACCTCTATTGGCAATTACCAGAGGAAGAATTATTTCACAAGGTGATTTAAACTCTCATGTAAGAATGCGTTGTTTGATGAGCTAGTCAACAAGTGTGACCACGTGATGTGGATCCCGTGACTGAACGATGAGCGACGCTATAACCTCAGTGCGAGTTACTCACACTGCCGGTTAGTCGCTCTAGTCCAACCGGATGAGAGTTCAAGCTACTAGCCGGGAGGTCACAGGTTCGAAACTCTTCGAGTCCCGTGAGGTACACACAACTGAGGATTTCAAATAAGAATAAAACGGCTGCACAACGTTTCTCGGCTATCCAGCAAAGACTGGCCTCATTGACAGGACGAAATCCCACACCACCTCAAAAAGCAGAGTCGTCAGTTGATGTCACAGCGGAGCTTTTAATTCAGTAATTGCAGCAATGGCAAAGAAAAGCGGGAATTCAAGGGACTTTGGGTTAACCATCATCTTCACGAATTCAACCAGATATCGCAGATCTAAGTTGCCTGCATAGGCAACAGTGACATCGACTGTGGTGCGATAGAGTCGATCACAGATATCCCATCCCGATTGTGCCATCAGCACCCAGGCCTCCTACACATCCTCTGGTTACACCACTTCGATTAAGATATTCAGGACCGTAACCCTCTCAGCTAGAGATGAATCTGTGAGCTTAATCTATGACCAACTCACCGAAGTCGGTGGCCAAGTTCAGTGGTCCGATACCAAAGAACCCATAGCGGTAACCGACCCCGCACTTTCCAACAAGGTCATTACAGATCCGTGGATATCAGCTTATATTTACTGTCATTCCGAAATTTACAGACTCGTTAGATCCCCCCCTCACGAACACAACCCACGATGTAGCACACATTCCTTCAATCACTCAGTGGAGAAAATAAGTGAGCCTGGTTGTGACCCTGAAACGCTGTGTGACTACATCATCATACATTTTCTTCATCAAATCATCTGCAACGGTATGTGGCCCGTTCCAAGGCAGCAATTCGTGCCTAGTGGCTTCATTATTCGATCCAAAGGATGAAATCGCATAAGTGGTGAAGTATTCCTGAGCCGCAATTTGGTCAGAAGGGGCTTTAAATGATAAGTTGGCCACTGTAAGACAAACTGGCCATGTTTGCTTAAGCGATGCACTTTTAAGGACCCCCAATAACTGAATCGATGGAAGACAATTGAGGCACTTCAGCTGACAGTTTATGGGGTCTTGTGTCTTAAAGTGTGAAACCTTGGCTATTTCTGTTGTCAGCTCGTTTGGTGAGCTTATTCCATGTGATAGTCAGAGGACGGGACCCGCACAACATGAGAGAGGTAGTTTTTAGAACATTTGGAGATGGAATTTTTGCCAGCGAGGATTTTCCTGAGAATGGTACACCAAGACCGGAGGAAAAAAGTTTCGTTTACCAGAAGATGTGTTGGACAAAGTTGAGATTTTTGGCTAGCTGAAGGTGACCTAAAAGGCTAGACCTGACACGGTTGTAGAGGTCTCACAGTCAGGGGTCCCGTCACTCATTCAAGAAAGCGTCTTGGTAAAAGTAAACTTTCGCACTACATTAGACTATACGTCTGATACTAGACCTTTGATGGAGCTCACCGACAGGATTGTGGGAAGATGGGTATTGTGCGGAAAGATTCTTGACGTAAATCTGAAGCATGCTGTGAAACGATCCAATACACTACTTATAATGTTGCTGAAAATTCTTGGATCGGTTTTACCTTTCTTGGAGGCCATCAGGTAGGCTCAATCCCCGAGTTCAAGTTCTACTTGGACCCACAAAATACACACGTTTGCAAATTAATTTAGTTTTGCGAAAAACTGTCGAAACATGAGGTGGCCTGGTTCGACACATTCAGTTGCTTGAAAACATCATAAACGATAGATTCAACTGGGTTCCAGGTGAGCCCCCCGTTAAAACCAAACTGGTTTGCAAATCAGTGTCGTTTGTTAGAATCATGCGATCTAGACTCAATTAGAACGTACGGTTGACAGAAAATCGGGGACTGCGCTACCTGATGGGTCCCAAAAAGGGCAAAATCGGTCTTGAGCTGTCGGATAGTTTTTAGCGACCTTATGAGTAGCGTATTACTTCTACACATGTATCGCGATATCTCGGATATCGCGGTAAGTGAAACAGGGGATAGCCTGGTGCAGCACATTCATTTGCTTTAAAACATCACAAACGAGAGATTCAACTGGGTTCCAGGTGAGTTCCCCGCAAAACCAAATGGGTTTGCAAGTGAATGTGAAACGATCTAGTTGAATTTTTCAGCTGGTAAACCCAAAGGAGATCTCTTCCGTTTAGGTGGATATTGTCGGACAGAGAAGCAAACCAAACCACTCGTGGAGGCAAGAAAAGATCATGAATACTATCGAATGGACTTAGTGCCCGGTAGCTCAGTGCCTAGCTGTCATGCCACACGAAGGAAGCACACGGGCTGAGATGCTGTCAGGTTACCCAATTTTAGACAGGAGCGGTCAAGATGCCACGGTTGGGTTCGAGCCATGAACCTTCTGGTCACTGAATGTGCACCTTCACCACTGAGCTATCTCCACGTCAAAATTTAGTTACTTCCGGTAGTTCACATATAAGCGATCACAATGGATGTTCTCCTCGGCACCCTAGGAGTAGTATGGTGAGTTTCGACAGACCGGTAGGCGATAAATGGTTACGGTGGTTAGCTGGTACTGTTTGAAATCCAGCATTTTTGTTTCAGGCCACCCAGGCCAAAGATGGGGGAAATTTTGATGGCTACAAGGAAATTCTGTTTTCGTGATGCACTGCTCATAAGGTTGCTGAAAATTCACCGACAGCCCACGACCAGTTCCGCCCTTCTTGGGGCTCATCAGGTAGGTACAGTCCCCGAGTTTCCGTCAACCTTATGTTCTTCTTGAAACCAAATTGCACGAAACTAGCGAATATACACTCATTTGCAAACTAATTTGGTTCTTTCGATAGACTCACCTGGAACCCGGCTGAAACTCTTGCTTGTGATGTTTCCAGGAAACATTAGTTTGCAAATGAGTGTATTTCGCTGAAATTCCGTTCTAGTGAATTTTTAAAACCTATATCACAGAGTGTATTTGAAATGGTGCACACAATAAAAAAATATGAGTTCGAATAGCAGTAACCAATAAACTAAGATGGCCGAGTGAACAAGACTTCGGGTCAGTAATCCAATGACCCGGGTTCGAACCCGGAGCTCCTACTATGATGTACAGTGCTTTTTGAAATCAAAACTCAAAAATGCGTCACATTCTTTTCATAACTTACCAAAAGTTGCCCTCTGCATAAAATCTTTCACACAGTCAACGGACGTACACATCAATATCTAAGACTGAAAGGGTACTAGTCTCATTGAAGACGGTGTCGCTTCCTGTCGCGTCCCATCTTTCTGCGTTTCTCCAAACATGCCTGTGAACATTTCTCAAGATCTTCACCTGCTAGCTCAGATTAGACTGAAAACCACTTTCTTCACCGAATTACGGTCGAATAATTGCCTGAGCATATTTAAACGAATAGTCATGATTGGTGGTCTGGAATCCTGCTCAACAGATGGGCAAAATCTCACGATTGGTGTTCCACACAGGTGTTTCTGGCCGCTTATTCGACTGTTGTAGGTTTTCCGGGATTCAGGTGATTGTGTTCTTGTGTCAAAAATAAAGTCAGAGATGAGTTAATGTATAGAAAACGCTGCCGTATTAGGTATTATGAAGAGTCCACCCGTGTATCTTTTATGGCAGGTGGGTAGGTACAGTTTTTGTACAACTCATCAGTAACAATTTATCCTCAAAAGAGTGTCTCCGTTTGCGCAACTTGTGTGCAACATTTCGTGGAGACAGTGATACTTCAGAATTTCAAGCTCTTGTCATCAGATTCACCGTCTACCATGAGAAGAACTTTCTCACTCATCCGGAACTACCGCCCGATGCGCAGCGTTTGATTAAACAGCTAACTGTTCCGGTGGATTCCCCCACTAATTGGGGATACTACTTTCCTAATTTCATATTGTGATTGAATTCGCCTCACTAAGACAGCGTGGTGCGACCGAATTAGTCCAGTTTTTTCCACTCCAACTGAAAGGCATACAAAAGTTAGTTTCGCCTCAAAAATTCAAACAAACGGTGACCAGTGGCGAAATTAGCTTGGCGCTAATGGAAGACTAAGCTGGATTCCAGCTGGACCCTTCGTTTATGATACTTTTCAACTGGACGGGCCGCATAAAGATCGTTCCATGTTAAAGAGTTTTCAGCAACCTCACAAGTAGTGTTACGTCGCGAAAAAATGCTCCGACATCTGA